GAGGTTGCTGCAACCAGCTGCCTAATGGGAGGGTTTCGGGGCGACAGTGCACAAGGCCGCACCTGGCCACCGTGCAGCAGCCAGGCAGACCCACCATCCTGGGCAGTGCAGGGACAGGACTGCTGGTTCTTACAGGATAGTGGCCGTGGGGCCAGGCAGACTGCAGCTGCTCTGGGCCACAGCTTCCTCCCGTGGAAACACGGCAGTTCCAGCAGCCACCTGGCATTTGGCTTCCTTGCTCAGGTTTGCCAGGAGCTGCCTGGCTTTGAAAGGGAAAGTCCATTTCTTGGGGTGGCCTACATGGCACCAAGCTGGGGGACCCCATGGAAATTCACTCTGCATTTTTGTGACTCGAGGTCAGAGATCACAGTGCAGCCCGTCACAGCTCAGGCTGCTCTGCTGGCTGCAGTGGCTGCCAGGGGCCCCGGTGGCACAGCCCCTCCAGCCTCTGCCTCACATTCTCCCCGGTACATATCTGTCCTCTATGTCCAGACTCATTCTTTTTATAAGAACTTCAAGAAGGGAGGGGTGCCACACTCCTGTCAGCCTACCACTTGGGGAAGTGGGGTCAGGAGGATCACAGCCTGAGCAATTTACGGACTTAGCCAAACCTTGTCTCTATAAATAAAAAAGGCCTGGAGATGTAGGTCAGTGCAAAGGCCCTGGGTTCACTCCCTAGTGAACATGCATGTGTGCACACATGTACACACGCACACACACAAGGACAACCAGCATTGAACTGGGGTCTCCTAACCCTTTCCTCTTAATTTGGTTAAGTACAGATTCTATTTCCAAATACTGCCATTCCTAGTACCAGGGATTAGAGGTTAAAATGAATTCAACCGTAATATGCCTTTAGTCCCAGACAAAGGTGGTTGGCTATCCTAATACACCTTCATATCCTACAATCCTGAAACTCCCACCTGTGCTCATTTATTTAGTGCTTATTTTTTGGCAGAACAGGGATTGAAGTCAGGCCCTTGCGCTTGCCAGGGAAGCACTTACTCTACTGAGCCATTTCCCCGGCCCCTAATTGGTCTTTTCAAAACGGTCTCGCTATGCAGTTCAGGCTGGCCTGGAGCTCACTTTGCGGCACAGGCTGGTCTCGAACTCGTAATGATCCAGCTGTCTCAGCCTCCCGAGTACTGGTATTACAGGTGTGCAACACCACATCCTCTTTTTTAAAAAATGTATTTGGTATAATGTCTCACTGCACAGTTCAGACTTGTAATGATCCTCACATCTTCAGTGTCCCTGGCACTGGGATTACAGACGGGCACCACCATGCCTGGTCTCAGTGGCAGGTGCAGTGTGACTGCAGGAGGGGCCAGCATGACATGTAGTACCTTGGAGGGAACCCCAGTCCCTATGCTTGCTTAAGCAGGTGCTTAGTTCACTGAGCTATGTTGCTGGCCCTCTGCTCCCTTTTATTTTTAAATCAAGCACCTTAATCCATCGTGGTCCAAGTCGGTGGTTCTCAAAATATGGGTGATGGCTAGTGGCTACAGCTGCTGAGCTCTGGAACCAAGGAAGACCTGCTTGTCTTTGGTACTGGGGATCAAACTCGGGACCCTGCACTTGCCAGTCAGGCGCCTAGCGTGCTGCTGAGCTGTCTCCCCAGCAAGGCCCACTTCTTGTGTACCTCCTTGGCCTTTGGGGTCAGGGACTTCACAGGTGAGGTCAGCCTGCTTGTTGACCCTTCCAGGTAAGTGAGGGCCACCAAATCAGGGCTCTAGGGAGTCAAGGTGGGTGGCAGTAAGCATGAGCTGTGGCTGTCACTTTAGCACTACAGGCATGGCAGCATGGGCACAAAGGGGTGGCCAAGACACGCAGCCCCACACGGACGATGTCAGCGCAGAGGAATGTGACCGTTCCAGCTGCCCCAGCTGCCAGGCAGACATGGCTTTAGCCTTTTAGGGTAAAGTTCAGGACGCTTTCATCTCACAGCCAGGCCACACAGAAAACTCTCCTTTATTTGATGTCTAATCCGGTAATGAGGACAGGATTGGCAACTCAGTGTGGGGACAGCAGGCCATGCAAGTTTTGCTAAGTAGGAAATAAAAGGTACAGCGCTGCCTGGGCTTTTCTGGGGAGCAGGAAGAACTGGGTGAAAGTTCCTTATTGCTGAAGGCTGGTATGCATGAGGTCTTGGGTTCAATTCCCAGTACTGCAATAAAGTTTAAAAAAAAACAAAAAGGAAAATTGGGCATGGTGGTTCACACCTGTAATCCCAGCTGAGAGGCTGGAAAGGATCCCTTAAATCCAAGAGCTCATGGCTGGCCAAGGCTACATGACACGTCTGCTCCCCTTAACACTTATCAACCAACCAATGATCCACCTGCCCACTGACGCAGGAGTCTCCTAGGTTTAACAGACATGAGACCTTTCGCACAAACCCTCCTTCTTGGTGAGAGGCTGAGCCTGCCCAGCACATGCATCCCTGGGCCGCACCAGGACCTGCTGAGCAAGGGCGTGCCTGAGCTCCGTGGCCTGGCATGACAGTGCTGGGGACCCTGAATGACAGCAGGCCTGTGTTCCACATCCTGACAGCAGCCAATCTGGTGCTAGAACTGGGGCCTGGGATGGGTTCTCAGCCTCCCTCCATACTGCCTGCTACCTTTCAGGTTGTGGGGCTCAGAGGGATTCAGTCACCCTAGTACTGGCTGCTGGGGAGACACAAAAAGGCTGTAGGAACGCGTGGGGTCCCTGGTGTCAGGTGAGAGCTCAGGATGGCAATCAAAGGAAACAGGCATCCTAGCCACTGTGGCTTGAGTTTGTCCAGGGAGCGAGAGGAGCACCTGAGCCTGCAGACCGCGCCACCTGAGGAAGCCCAGCTGCAGGCATCTTCTGTGGGTGAGGAAACGAAAACACAGAGCACAGATGTTCCAAGTACAGCGCCAGGCCACACTGGTGTGGTCTCCCTGGGTTTGGTCATGTGGGGTGTGCAGCAGTGAGGGAGGGGGCGGTGGGAGGGTGTCTGCCAGTTGCCTTAAGGTCCCTAAGCCTCAGGCCCCTGCTTCATCCCAAAATGTGGCCATTTCAAACTGGAGACGTGAGGTGGGGACAACAGGAAGACTGATGACCGATACTTAACAAAACCCCCCTGCTCTTGGGCTGGGCAGGGCAAAGTGGCTCTGGGTGTGTGAGGACTGCTCTGAGCACAGGTATCAGCTCGGGCCAGCTGGGCCCGAGCTGCTGGGGCCACGTGGTGGCACACCCCCCACCCTGCAGGTGCCAGTCACCTACACAGAGGCCCATATGCTTCCAGTAATATCACAGTGACTTCAAAAGCTGCAGCGCACCGTGCTTGCGTCTCACGGCACAGGCACCAAGCAGCAGCACCTTGCCTCATGAGCAGGCGCAGGACAGGAGACCACAGAGAACCGAAGACCCGACCACTCCACCAGGCACTGTGCTGACAGTGGAGCCGTCAGTCTGGCAGGCAGGACAACAGGAAGGCCTGCTCACTCTTTGCCGGGCTGGATGCCACCAGGATGGGGTCCTCTTGGATGTGGGAAGAGCGCTGCTGAGAAGTCAGGTCTACTCAGGAAACCAGAGGTCTGCAGCACGCTGGGTGTGGCGGTGCACGCCGACAACGCCCCTGCTGTAGGCTGAGGCGGGAGTGCCACTGAGTCCGAGGGTAGCCTAGCTACAGTGAGTGGAGTTCACAGGGAGAGTGAACTGGCTGATGCGCCCGTCTGCAGCTGTGACCGCAACCATCTTCCCTCCATCTGTCCTCAACTAGGTGTCTCCTCCATCACAACGTACACAAAAGGAAGGGATATAGCACAGCCAACACGCCACCGCTACTGCCAGGCACCAATGGAGGTCCTGGGCTGGAGCCATGCCTGTCCCTTGGGCACACGTGGGCCGAAGGCAGAACGTGAGCTCTACAGGGGTGCCGGTGCCTCGCCGTCGTGCGCTCCGCCATGCAGGTCGCCCCAGGCCAGGTGGATTCTTCCTCGGCCTGCAGAGAGCACCGCTGGAGGCGCTGTCAGGACTGTCGGCTTCTAATGCGTTTCCTGGACCGTGCTGGAGTTCCAGCTACACGGAAGGAACTTTCCAGATGACAAGGGCTGGTTGAACTGGACTGATCTAATGCAATCCCATATATCCGGTACTGAGGGATCTTTTTAGTTTTAAGACTGAACTGTGTTAATAACAACTTGGTGAAATTAGTTTAAACAGTATTTGGCAGAAATCTAAAACTCTGATTTCACTCTGAGATGACAGATGAGATAAAAATGCTTAAGACCCAAGAGAATGGCATGTTCTAAGAACACAAACTTTTTATTAAAAATTAGTTGCAAAACAAAATTGTATTTTAAGACAATGGCAGCACTTGCTTAATGTTAGAGGCGGTCAGGTTGTGAAATTTTAACTAGGAGAGGAGCACATATGTAATACACGGCTTAAACAAATATACAGCTCATCCCCAAGTCTGAGTTACAGACAGGGCGAAGGCCGTGTGCAGATGCCTCCAAACCGGGAGCCACTTTTCCTGCTGGGCAGCTCCTCACCCTCAGAACCTCTGAATGCTGGGACACCTGGATAGGCCAATCTACAGAACTTTCATTTTTCTTTTTTTGGAGACAGGGTCTTGCTTTGTAACACAGGCTGGTCTTGAACTCATGGGAATCCTCCTGCCTCAGCCTCCCAAGTGCTGGGATTACAGGCATGCACCACCATGTCCATCAGGGAAATCACTTTGCAAGCCTTATCCTCACATGGACATTGAGCAGAGAAGGAAGGACAAAATATGTCTCTCCAGCTCCTTCGCTGCAGCCGGTCTAACAGACACAGGGGTGCAAGCGTGCTTCACCACCCAGGGGCCCTGTCACCGGCGGAAGGCAGAAGGGCATCGCTCTCCAAGACCACCCAGCTTAGCCGTCTACAACGCTGGGCAGTGCCTGCACATCCTTGCCAGTGCCCCAGGCCCAAGGGAAGGCTGCAGGGCACCAGGCCTTCCTCCTTTCAGTCACCGCAAGCAGCAGGAGGGATGAAGGTTTGCAGCTGTTTTATTTACAAGTATACATTTAACACAATGAAATAAACACTGATATACTGAAGCCTAGTTAATAGTAGTGTAACAATATGTATCATTTTGATGATTACATTATTTTAAACAACAAACTACACTGAAAAATTAATGCCGATAAAATTCTTGGTCATAATATTAAGAAATACAATATATAAATTGAAAATATGATTGCTTAAAATTTGAAAATGGAAGTGAACTCATTTGGACAGTCAGAGTTGAACATAATCTGAAGGAGGGCTCTGACCCAAATGACGTCTCTCAGGTTAACAGAAGAGAAGAAGCAGAGTTTTCCTCCGAGGATGGTGGAGCCGCTCCCCCAAGGAGAACGTTTCCCAGTGTCCTCCACTGCACTCGCTCTCACATCACCGAGCACGAAGACTTGCCTTGTGAAGCTGCCCCGTCCATCTTTTCTGCCTCCAAAATTATCCTTCTGAAAACATCGACAGCAGTCTGAAAGGAGAAGCAATCACAGCTTAGTGCTCCAGGGCCGAGCGGCCTAGGAGGGAGGCGGCGGCCCTTCCTCATGAAGGCCAGCGTCCCTGTAGAGTGGGACGCCACGGACAAGCAGGGGCGTCTCACTTCTGGCACCCCATTCTCTTAGCTCATTTTGCTTTAATCCCATGGGACTCTCACCTAATCTGCTGACCTCAGGACATTCTGTTGCCACTTCTTATCCTCCTGGCCCTCCTGGGCTAGCGCGGGCTCTGCAGCTGGAGTCACTTATGTCCTCACCCTTCTCTACGCTGACTCCTGCCCAGTGCTACTCAAAACAGCACAGCCTACAACCGCTTAATGTCCCCCACGAGCAGGAGTCAGCAGCCAGCTCCAGCCCTGTGGGGAGTGGCTAATGCCGGAAGCTGATCACAGTGCAGGGGGAGGCAAGGCCGGTGTGGAAATGGAGAGCACCGTAGGAGAGCCCGGTGAACGAGCTGCTCCACTGCAAACGCGCCACCACGGGCCCTGCAATCCAAGAATAGGCTGCTAGGCCAAGGGCACCATGTGCCACCAACCTGCCGGTGCACGGACTGCTGTGGGGGGTTGAGCAGATCCTTTCCTCCCACCCTGAGAGAAGGCTCCACCTGACCTCAGCTGGCTCTCGGTCCTCTCGCCACCCCCCCAACTTCTGAGAGCCCCACCGCATGGCACAGCTGGCCCCTCGGCCTGTCCTTTCCCAGAGGGAGGCAGTATGGGCGTGGCCTTCTCCCTCAGACTGGGCTTGTCTGATAGGCTCATTCCACATTTCCCAGGAAACACAAGTGCCATTCACACGAGTACTCGGTGGCTCTGGCCACCAGGCCACGTGTCCACACTTGCAGGGCCTGCTGGTGTGAACACAGGGCTATCTTAGCTCTCAACCTCCCAGGCCCACCTCTGGCTAAGTGAGGTCACTGCTAGGGTCACCTTATCACCAGAAAGCACTAGACAGAGAAAAAGGACAAGGTGGTTTCTTTTTTGGTATCAGGAATTGTGCCCAAGCCTCCACTCTTACTGGGCAGGCACTATGCCACTGAGCTATATTATATCCCTGGCCCCAAGGTTTGGTTTATTTAAATCTAGCCCTACTACTTATGCCATATAAAATATAATGTAAACTCAGAGACATTATTTAACTTCTTTGGATCTTAATTTTTCTCACTTGTAATCTCAATCTCCTGGGAGCCTAGGGGAGGAAGATCAAGAACTTGAGCCCAGGCTAGGCAATCTAGTGACTTAGTAAGATTCCTATGTTAAAAAAGGAGGAACTATTTCAACTAGATAATCTTAAGGACTGAATATCCACTTGATAATTAAAATGCAAGTATCTTCCTTACTAATTTCAACTCTTTTTTTGGGCAAAGGGTACTGGAATTGAACTCAGGATCTTGTGCTTGCCAGGCAGGTGCTGTGCATTGAGTTATATCCCCAGCCCTTAATCTTAACTCTTAGCTGAATTCTCACCATCTATAGGCTGGAACTAAATAGATCCAGTTTTTGCTACCTGGACCTGGGAACCAATGACACAAAATTAGCACCCTCTCTAGCTGTACCCAGGGAGCAGTCATAACCCACTGGACAGGGAAACCCTGCACTCAGTCCTGGGGAGAGGGGATCCCAAGCTCAAGGCCAGCCTGGGGAACTCCACAAGACCCTATCTCAAAATAAAATGTCACAAGGGCTGCGGATGCTACTCGGTGGCAGTGCTGGCTGGTATGCGAGAGGCCCTGAGTTCTACCTTTCCAAAACACAAGAAACAGAAAAGCTTTGGGTGACATGGCAAGATAAAGACAGCGATCAAGCGCTGACTTAGGAGAACGCTGCACAAAATGTGTTTAGAAACTGCATACCATGGGGCCAGGGAGATGGCTCAGGGGAATAAGCGCTTCTCTAGCAGTGCAAGGGCCTGAGTTCAATCCCCAGTTCCGCAAAAAAAAAAAAAAAAAAAAAAAGAAAACTGCATACCTGATTTTCTTTAGCAGAAGATTCCAAAAAAGCTGCGTTCCAAGATTCTGCCAAAGCCTTCCCTTCTTCATAACTGATTACCCTAAAGGAATAAGAACATTCTAATTTTTGTTCCTTAGCACATGAAGTATACATAATTGATGAAACAGGCTCTGCTCTGACCACTCTGGAGGCAGTGCCATCACCGTCAGGGGTAACACAGGAGCATCAATCACACAGGCCGAGGGGACAGGACAGACGCTGCTCCTCAGGGCCAGGATGTAAGCAGCACAGGCCAGACCCCCGCGCTGGGCTCCACATTGCCACGCGGAGCAAGCTGCTCTGCCCGCATGCCCCACCTGTGTGATCCTAGCCTTGAGACGCAAAGGCACGTGGCGAAAATAATAAACACTGCTGCCTTTGTCACAACATAGAGCCCAAAGAGGATCCCCTGTCCAGCTTGATCTCTTCAGAGAAATGTAATTACACTGCAGGGACCACATAGAAACACTGCAGGGAGATACTTAGTGGTTGTGGTGGATTATAGGAATTGAACTCGGGACCTTGTGCTTGCCAGGCAGGCACTTGTGATAAGCTGTATCCTGGGCCCTAGCTTTGACTTGATTTTATAAACTAGTAATTCAAAAGGTACATACCTTTCCATATGCAGGTCTTTTTTATTCCCAACCAACATAATGGGTATTCTATTCATAAAAGAGAGAAATGAACCAGTTAGAGACAGATCGTGCCACTCTGCTTGGAAGACTGTAATGGGAAAAGGCCAAGTAGCACTACTTACTGCACTTTCCCCACCATATCCAGCAGTTTGCCATGGATAACTTTAATCACTTCAAAACTGTAAGACAAAACGTATAAAATCAAGACACCCACTTTGACCATGGAGTTTTCAGATGAATGTTAAATAGCAGAGGGAATGCACATGTCACAGACTCATCCTTTAACATAAGCTGCACGCTAGACTTCCTTTATTTTCCCTACACTGTCCAGGTTAGCCTCAAATTTGTAATCCTCCTGCCTCAGCCTTTTTAGTAGACTGGAGGGACTGCAGGGTAGCTGGAATTACAGGAGTGTGTTACTGAGGCCAGATGTATGCTGTTATTTTGATAAAAATCCTTGCAGGTGAAAACCTAGATATGGAAATCTTAAGTCTTGTAGGTTGCATGACAGAAAAACTTCCCTAATACAGCCCAGGAGTGCCCGGGAGTGGGCTGACAGGGAAGCAAGCCCAGCATGCCACAGCCCATTGCACGCAGCTCACTGCTGTTTCACGCAGAGCGGTGATGAGGTTCGAGAGGGCGAGACTGGCTGCCCCGGTAGGCTCAGTGACTGAAACCGGCAGCTTCTGAATCGCTGGCCAGCACCCAGTAACAGGAAGGGATCAAACCAAAACCAAAGTGTGGCTAGAGGAACCAAAAACTACTCTCACAATAAAAACAAAGGCCACATTTTCTGTAGGCAGATGACACCCGATTATGCAAAGGTCTTATTTCATGAATTCAAAGGATAAAGTATTCAACATACCGTACTCCTCAAATTGTCGTACAAAGTCTACCCACAGACTCTCCACACAGTCTGGTAAAAAGCAAATTAAATGTAAACTCATGTATTTCTCATCTACAGTATTAAAAAGCCTTTTTTTTTTTTTTTGCAGAACCGGGGATTGAACTCAGACCCTTGCGCTTGCCAGGGAAGCGCTTATTCTACTGAGCCATCTCCCCGGCCCCCAAAAAGGCCCATGATATGTTCAGTCACTGCCTGCGCAGCCTAAAAGTAAAACAGATTTTATTCTCCCAGGGTTACAAAGCACCTACTGGGAACACTGTTTCTTCAATACCCTGTGTACTCCATAAGAAAGCCACTAAAAACCATTCAGTCTAACAAACAAGGCTATTGTTATACTAATCCCATCATATGCTTTAGAAAGGTTCAGGCCACGGTGAGTGGCAAAAGCAGTCAAGCCAGCATCCAGCATCTTACCTTTTGATTGATGTAACAGAATACACAAGAATATAGCCATTAATATCTATGGAGTATGTCTGAGGAAAAATGGAATACTCATCCTGTGGAAGAAAAATAATTACAGGTGAATGAAATTTTCACTGAATGTGACAATGTGTAAGTAGGTTTTCATAAAAAACAAAAAAATCCAAGTAAACAGGAAACACAGTTATCACTCCAGATCCCTGGTTATTCTAGGACTCTCAAACTGATGGTGTTAGTGATTTCTTTGAGAAGAGGATAAAAGGAACGGGCCACAGCCCCAAATCTCCTACCAAGGCACACCACATCTGTTTTACTGATAGGAAGTTCAGAATCTCTCAGGCCCTTGGGAGGTGACACGCCCTATGTTCCCGAGCTCTGAGCTCTGTATCACAGTCACAGAGGCCTGGGCATCAATCTAAGGGTTACAGGTTGCCATGGGCATCTGAGAGAAAAGATCACAGCACCACGATCTGTCAGTGTATGCACGCTCTCAGGGACTGAAGAAGTTATTACTGAGCTGCTTAGAAGTGACTGTCCTTAATCCTACAAAGAAGCCTCTCACAACCTGGCTTCAGACCCAGATTTATGAAAATGTATAGAAGCTTGGATGTGGTGGTGCACACTGTGAACCCAGCATTTGGAGGCAGAGGCAGGAGGATGCTGCAAAGTCAAGACCTGCCTGGGCTACAAAGTTAGCTCAAGGCCAGCCTGAATTGCATAACCTTGTCTCAAAAAGACCAAACACAAACAAACAAAAAACTCAAACCAGAAAATTCAAATGTCAACACAGTTTTCAACAACACGTGCAGCTGCCTACACAGGCCTCTTGCGCTCAGCTGAGATTCAGTGTCACTAATGCAACGGTCTTGTCCCACCACCACCAGAGAACCCACCAGAGAACGGCAGTGTCACCTCTGCCCACCCACAGCTCGGCTACAACTCTGCATGATAAACCAGGGCCTACTGCCCCATGGGAAAGTTCTTTTAAAACAAAATCTGCAACAATCTCGGTTATAGTTTAGCTACTGTGGGTCCAAAGTTTAACTCTGCTGTTCCCTAAAGGGCAGAAGTGAAAATGAAAGCAGCACTGTGTGAAACCCAGCCACGCACAGGTACCTCGAGGAGGACAACCAGCTGTAAGCAACGGAGCCATCAAAACAGGACACCACTCCTGCGCCCCGGCCCCACAAATGAATCCCTCAGGATGAACTGAAGGCAAGCAGAGACGCATCAGAAGAAGGCGCGGGACACTCCCCTGGGGTGAGACTGCAAGGAAAGTACCACCAGGCCACGGTTGTGAGCCAACTGCGCTGCACATGGGAGCACCACAGCTCACTCAGAGGGGAAGCAGAGGTTCAGGACAGCAGGGGCGACTGCGGGGCGTGCAGAGTGGAAACTGGTCACAATGACCACCATGGCACAGGGGCTCGCGGATGAATAGACTGGACATTCTAGAAGGACCCAAATAGGTATGAGAATTAGCTATGGGATTCCGAGTACTCTGGGAAGCACAAACAGGAGGACCACAAGTTTGAACCCAGCCCACGATATTTAGCAACTTAGGAAAATTCTGTCTCAAAATTTAAAATTAAGAAAAGGGTGGGGATATAGTTCAGTGTGAAGGCCCTGGGTTCAATTCTCAGCTTGGTGGGTGGGGCGATATGAAAACCATTGGGATGTGGGGGAATTTTTAAAACCGGTTAAATAAAAAGGAATACATTCCACTATGGAAACATTAAAATGTTCTTTGTGACTGTAAACCTCTCAAACAAAAAACATAAATGAAAGAAAAAACCTTGCAGTGGACTGACCAGATAGCTCAGCAGATTAAAGTGCCTGCTTAGGCAGATGCAGGGACTAGGGTTCCAGCCCTGGCATGTCATTCCAGCCCCGCCCCCGGGGACGTGCTGAGAAGGCAATTGAGACTGGGCATGGTGGCACACGCCTGTGATCCCAGCGCTTGGGAGGCTGAGCACAGGAGGATCACTGAGTCTGATCTACTAGTGAGACCCTGTAGACCCTGTGCTAAATAGATTAAAAAAAACCAAACCTTGCATATCAGATCATACATAAAATGCCAATTTCATTCATATGCTACATCTCAAGGCAGCAAGCACATACTAACCACAGAAATGAAGAGCAGAGCTCATACTTGGGTAATGCACAGCAAGGGATACAAATATGCCCAGACACAGGACAAGACCACAGCCCTCACATAGGGAAAACAACGACGATGCGCAGGGAGCTCACTGCAGACTGCGAGTGGGGGCAGGGCTGAGGGCCAGGGCACTGCTGATTAGTATTTTGGTAGCTAACCCACTGTAGACCCAAGATGGGCACAACCCAGCATGGGATATATATGTGTGGGTACGGAATGATTTCCAAGATGGAAACGTATTACTTTCTGTGTAAAAAAGAGAAAGTAACACACTACTTTAGAAGCACGTAACAGGATAAAAGGCTGATGGGCAGGGGAAGGCACAGAGAGACAGCTACGGCAGGGAGGGAAGGGCAGAAAGAATGAAGCTGTCTTATATTCGGACAACCCCCAGGAACATGGTCACTATGTTCTGCAGTCATGGACTGGCACAAACAAACCTGAACAAAACCAGACAGTCAGGATTCCGACAATCCCAGCTAACTGGGAGACTGAAGCAGGATGATTCCAAATTCAAGGCAGATGTGGGATATGCATCAAGATTCCATTTTAAAATAAAACTAGGGGCTGGTGAGATGGCTCAGTGGTCTAAAGCACCTACTTAGAACAAGCTTTAGGGGCTGGAGAGATGGCTCAGTGGTCTAAAGCACCTACTTAGAACAAGCTTAGCTAAAGCATCGGGGACCGCGGTTCAATC